GCATTCCTGTCCAAGTTACCAAATCTCAGCACCAGCTTTGGCATCCTGAGGGGACGGGGCATCAGCAGGTACCTGGGACCCAGCGGAAGTATGAAATGCTCTGAGAGAGGGCAGTAGTAGGCAGAGAGAGATTATGGAAACCAGAAAACGCTGCAGAGGCAGCTTAGGACACCCCTTAAAATAGGTGAGACTCCTGGAAATTCTTGGGGAGGCGTACTTTGTCACGAAAAGGTTTGGTAAGTGCTCCTTTAATAAGGATTATCATTAAAATAAACTCTCATTTTGAAAAAGACTAGTGGACTCTGTGGAGTTTAGAATTTTCAGAAGAGATGGCAGTGACTTATGCAATTGTAGATCTTGATTTTTTCCCCCATTAAGGTGATGGTCTAGAGCTGTCCCCAGCACTCTTGCCCTGGCATCTGGGCAAAGGTTGCCAGTTTTCATTACCTATGGAGCACTCTGTAGACAAGAAACCATATCTTTTTTTGTGGATAAGAATTGAAAAATATTGGTTTCATTATCCTTAGTATCATTGATCAACTGATGTAAGCAGCCAAAGAACAGGTGTCACCTTCATTACCCTTAAGACTTCATTACTATGATTCCTTTGCCATTAGTTAAGATCTAGTTTTAATAAAAGAAAAAACACTCACAATAGGAGGTTTAACATAAAATAAGAAATGTAGTAAACTTGCTGTTTTTGTTCTTATTTTAAACTTGATTTGGAATTCATCTCCAATAGTGAAAGAAGATGTGATGTGCCATCTGTGTGCTAGCATCATGAAAGAGAGAGATGTTATTCCTATTTATGAATTTAGAGCTGCAGTTTGACTATTGACATTAACTATAGGCTTTGGACTCCTCTTTAATCAAATCAGCTTCACCAGTTAAATTGACTATTTTATTAATTTATAATTAAATAGTTTTCAGTTAACATAAGGACATAGAGGTAACATCACAATTGCACTGTCACAAAGTTAAAGGCCCATGTGTTTCATCACCAGGTAAAATTCTGGAGCTAGGTTTCTCACAGAGGACACTAAACAGCCACCAGTCTTTTTATTTTGGTTTTATTAACAGAGATACTGCTTAGTGAAATATAAGCATAGGCCTTTTAATAGCTTCCTAGGAGTCTGAACTTTTGCTTTCAATTCCAAATAATATTTGGAAAACATGCTCACTTTTGTGTTTTTTTAGAAATTCTAAGAACTGGCCCAGATTCATGTGATAGTCATTCCTTAATCCGTAGTCACCATGGGCCTCAAGGAGTAATTCTTCAAAAGAATGGAACAGGCGCAGATCCTCCCCATTTCCTTCGGTTTCAATACTTTCAGCGTGCTTACAGGAAATGTGTTTCCAATTGGGATACCTAATTGTATGCCAGAATTCCTCACAATGCTCTTTGAAGCCCTCCACACAGATTATACCAGGCTTTCCTGTCATGCAAAATCCAGTCACATCTAACCTTTTCCCAGCATCCAAAATCTTCTTCCTTAGGTCCTGCTGATATATATGGTGGCTGTAGATCCACATTCGGAGGAATGTGTTCTTGACTGGCTTTGCCTGTGTGGATGGTTCGTAAATGAGCTTTCTGTTCAGGAAATAGGAGGCACTGTTATCCTGTAACCACTGGATTGCTGCACATACACAGAGCTCACCTGGATCAAAAGTCCCTATATAAGAAGTGAGACCTTTGTTCAGAAGCAATTGCTGTTGTCTGTCAAGTTCAGATGACCGTCCAAACAGCTGCAGTGCTACGTACGGGTAGCTGTGAGGCATGGTTACTTGCAAATCAATTTTCACCTTAAAATGAAAATCAAATAGATTTAAGTACCATAAAATCACTTAAGCTAGTTTGTCAATGGCAACTGCATGATTTTGATAAATGTAACAGCTATTGCTACTATGAAGTACCAGCTATGTGCCAGACACTATATTAAGTATTTAACAAACACACTATTCCTTTCATTTATGCATTCGTTTGTTCCAATATTTATCGAACACCTAACTATGTGCCAGTTATTTTATGCTAGAATAAAGAAGTAAAGACACTAGTTCTGCTCTTTATGAAGCCTAGAGCCTAGTGAAGGAGACAGACATTAAACAAATTATTACACATATCAAGTATTTAATTTCAATGAGAAGCATTACCATGGAAAAATACGAGGATCCACTGAAATGTGTCACCAGAGAGACTGAATCTATTCTGGGGAACCAGGAAGCCTTCTCTAAGGATGAGTAGGAAAAAACTAGAAGAGTGGTTCTCAAATGGCTGGTCCATTTCTTACCTATACTATGCTAATGTTGTCAGAGATATATGGGTCAGAAAATAAATTCATTTTTAGTATTTAGATTGTCTATCTGTATTTATTTTCTGTGTTTGGGTGCCACCAAAGAAACATTCATTCACTCCTGAAAAGCCAGTTTTGCTAAAGGCAATATTTAGATTTGTGGAAGTCATGATATATAGTACAAGATAGTCCATATTATAATAGTTGGGTTGGTTAAAAAAAAAAAAAAGGATGAGTGTACAGAATAACAATGGTAGTATAAAACGGCCAAGATGTTTTTAATAAAAATATAGGGCATATTTGTTAAAAAGGTGTGCATATTTAAGTAAAATTCAGGATGTTCATTGAGACAATTTAGAAGAAATCCAGTATTTTACGTATTTTGCATTCAAGCAAGTAAAGGAAATATGCATCTAGAATATTCTCTATTTCTTTCCTGAACTGAAAGCTCACGTTCCAACTGTTCCAAGAAAAATTGGGTACCTGGCAACAAAACAGCTGAGGGCACTTACCTTGGGCTCCTCAATCTGGAGAGTAATCACAAATTCAATTTTTGGTGGCAGCGCCTCCCTTGTGCCTTCCAAATATCTCTTTATATTCGTCAGGGCATTTACATCTTCAAGTTTTACTTCTCCTTGGTTAGGAAACATAGAAAACAGCATTTCCATCTCCAGTATCTGAAGCTGCAGGCATTCCTTCATAGAAGCGGAGGACATGTCGCCTCTAAATCAACTTGCCCAGGACAGCTGGAAAGGCCCAGGGACACTGGGTTTGTTGTCGGTGTCCAGCAAAATTTCCCGAAGTTCCCTTTGCGTGGAAGCAGTTTTGCAGG